CTCCAAGTAAGCTTGCAGTGTGATATACTGACTTATCTTCTTTTGCGAAATTCAGGCGCTTTAACAGAGAGAGATACAGATTACGCCCTCTACAAAAATCTGTACGGTAACTGAAAACCGATTTCAGTTGAGGGTATCTCGGTTATGAAACACTTGTTTACATGTGGGAAACAAATTTCAATTCGTTTCTACCGAGATCTTTGAATCGTTCGTTGAGCCCTCCGAAAACAAAGTCCGGTTAATAACAGACGCAGATGATAGCTACTGCCAAACCACCTAGCTGAATGAAGCAGCGCGGATTTCCTATGATATCAGCGAGGGACAGTCCACATTATAGATAGGTCTAATTTTAGTTTTTTGATCATCAGTATTTCAAATTGAACGATACTCAATGACCTTAGCTAATTTAATGAGGATGACTGCGAATTATAAATTATAGGGTACAAAGCCACAAAGGTTTGAAAAAGTCGCTGGAGAACGAATTAATTTCACCGTGGTGGCGATTTTCCAGAGTGGGGCATAACTACATAGGTCTCACACAAAGATCGAAAAGCAGTTACTGGGCTTTTCCATGAGAGCCTTACTCCTTAACAGTTACTAAATAACTATAGCTGATGAAAACGGTGTGACTATAAAAGCTTATCGATCGCACTTACCAAAATGCTGACTAAGTGGCCGAGGTTTTCAAATGAACAACTGCAAATAATGATTTGCAGTGAGGACTTTTCACAACCTTCCAAAACTTCCGCTTTCAAAGTGTTTTGGAGATCTAGGCCACTTGTGTTTCATACGTTGTCGTGAATTTTCATTTTCTAGCAGGTGTGACGCATCATCTAAGACAAAAATACTACCAAAAGTGGCTGTATTTCAGTTTGGCACGTAACACTTTCATAACTAATAATGGATTTGAACATCCAAAGAAAAGGAAACATTTTAATCTGTTTTACATGTACTGTCAGACCTCAACACTTTTATCCCTCTGGAAGGTTGGCTTTGCTGATCACGGTACGACTGAAACTCCTGTCTTAAAACAGTAAATTATCTGTGTGTGAAAATTGACACTTTGTCTTCATGAACTTTTCGTTTTCTTGCAGATGTGATTTGCATAATCGAAGACAAAAAAAATAGTCACTAATACAATAGATAAGAAAAACAGACGGATTGTATAAGTAATCTGTTCTAAAATAACCACATCACTAAGAGACTAAAAT